AGGGAAAGATGTACAGTAATACAAAATTGAAAACACAATCCTGAGAATCTGAGGAACCTGAAATCCTAAAGAATAATCACCCCAGTATTTGCAAATAGGACATGGCATTGCCCCTTTCTTGTTTTAAAGTGCATATTGGAATTCCAGATTCAAAGACCTTAGAGACCGAGAATAAATACTTCAGGAATCCATTATTTTTCAAGTCTTTAGTTTTTAGCTTCAGAAGGGGGACAGATCTAGCTGCTTAATAGCTTCCCTATTAAGTGAACCTGTAATTTCTTTTTAAATTATACTTTTTATGTTGACCTATTTTTATAGTATAGTATATAGTACACTATAGTTCTGTAATGTATATTTGTACATAGTGTGGAGGTACTGCTGTTTCCAGGACATCCAGGAAATTAGAACTTTTAAAATTATGCTGTAGACAACTGCTAACATTTATCAGTCTTTTGGCTGATTTAGGGAGTTTACCATCTTGAAGGATTGTGCACATAAATAGTATCTTTGCGTAAAAATATAATTATGCAGCAAATTTGCCTCTCTCGGCAAGTAAAATGATGGTTCTCTCTTCCTACCTTCATGTGAGCATCTATCACATTGACTGAGGTTGCTATTCAGATTAAACTTGCTGTGCATTAGTCTTACTTCAGTATACTTTGACTGTGTGTGCTGCTCCGTAAGCAACTTAAATTTCCTCCAAAGTAGAGTTACTCAAGACAAAGCTTGAAGGAAGGTCTTTTACCTGGGAATACTATCCTATGACACTTTTAGGACATCTGCCTCTTAACACATGTAACATTGTTCTGTTTCACTGCAAAATGGAAAACAGAACAGGTACATGTTCACATGAAGGAGTGTAGCAAAGTTTGTAAAAACAAGTCAGTGTAGATATTAAGCAGAAACCTTCTCAACTGAAGAAAGAAATCTTACAGAATAGTCGGAGGACAGAGTTCCAAAGATAAGCTGTCTTTTTGATGAGAAATAAAGTAAAGTATAGTCACCCTGGGCCTGATTCTGTCCACCCTTACTCACTGTAAGCAGCATATTGAAGTTTTCTTTATTTTCCCTGTACTGTTTTCCTACTTACCAAAGGTATTATAGTTTCCTAGGAGATTAATTTTAGCTCATAATTAGGGTCTTATGTGGACATCTTGAACCTCCAATGGAGGGGGGGTTTCTGTAGTTCAACTTTCAAGAGTAAGGAATATAAGTGACCATGTTCCTCCCACCAAGTTATTTACATCTTCTGTGAGATCTAGTCTCTGCCAAGAACACTCCTGGGATTCCAAATCATTGTAGATTTGGTCATCTGAGTGCTCCATGTAACCCTGTAATGTCATAAAATCAAGCTTCTACAAAGCATGGTGCAAGTGTATCATGATGGGTAGTAAACCATGTTGAGATCTACACGTCACTAATATACAAGAAATGTATCTTATAAAGGTCTTGGTTCTTCAGGGTTCTAATAAATACATACATAAATGTCCATCTGCTATGTAAATAGTAATTTTAAGTGCCTTGATGTCACTGACACTGTCAAACCACCACTGAGCTACTTCCAAGTACTAAGGTACTCAAGTCCTTAGGTATTTACTTTTCTGCCAGTGTGCATGCTTCTTAACAAATTGTACGTTAAGCACTGATTATGCTTCACAGCTTACAGGCTCTTTGGAGCCCTAGTTCAAGCCAAAGCAGGATTAAGGGTTCACTCTCTTTTCTCATGAATAGTGTCTGATCCAATAGCCATGCTGAGAGTCCACCTAAGGTAGCTGCTACCTACACAAACAACTGTGAGGAGGGAGAGAGAGTGCATGTGTCCATCTGGGAATTTGAGGCACTTCTTTGGGATGTGGTAGACTTGGGTTCAAATCTAAAAGTGGGCCTTCTTTTTGGTCCAGCGAATACTTATTTATACAAAGTAGAACAGCTCCAACAAGAGAGACCCATCATAAAATAATCAATAAGCTGGAAATGACACTCGCCTAGGGTATAGGAAATGTGCATTTTAGTCTTTGCTCAGAATCAGGCACAGCAGAGGTTTGAACTACATGTCCCACATATCATGCAAGGGCTTTAAACACTTAGCTATTGGGAATTCTGGAGTGATGTCCTCTGACTTGGAGTCCCTTGAGGATCCTGCTAGGTGGCAGGGTGTCTCAATTCTCTCTAGCTCCTGGCCCCAAACTTCAAGAGTCATTTAAATCCCACTAAAAAATAAGGAGTGTATAGTTATTTTGTTGGTTTGGTCTCGAACCTTTAGCGTTTAGTGTAATAATAAAAAGCTTTTTCCATTACAGGCCTGCCTTAAATTCAGGCTAGTTTCCCAGCTTCTGTAACAGAAATGTGTAGTTAAATGTAAGTGCTGATAACTTGGCTCACAAAAATGTTCCCTATTGAATTTTCATTAGGTAATGCAGCTTTTAGGCAAGATAGAGACTTCCAGCTCTGAGCAAAGCTCAAATCTAAAGACAGTCCAGGGAAATCATCACCATGAATTGCAACTTCTGGATTTCAGGTAGGTGATATAGATTTTTTTCATTATGTTAATACACTCTGAATACTTTAGTCTGATAGAGTTGGCATGAAGTAGCAAAATAAACTCATTAATTTACATGCATTCACAAATGCTGAAGGAAAGGTAATGAAGATCTGTACTGTACTGCACAATAATTAAAATGCATAATGAAGGAATATTGTTTTAAAAACTACTTGTTAAAATGAAAAGGCACTAAATGCCTCTCCCTAACAAATAAAGAACAGCCAACTAACTCCTTACCATATTTAAAAGGAGTAGCACTAGATACCTCTGCTGACCCAGCCTTAACTCTTAGGGCTAATTGGTGGCCTGGCTAGTACACCAGCATTGGGCCTGGCTACTACAGCCTTTTAGGCTAGGGACAGATATTGCACATAAACTGGTTTAAACTTGTAACAGAACAGATGTTCAGCGCACGTAAACCAGTTTGAAAATGGCTGAGACCGGTTTGAGATAAACCTGGTTGAATGTAATATCAGACTTAACTGATTTGGGTCAAACTGGTTTATGCAATGTCTGTCCTAGATCCCTTGCTGGTTTAAGTTAAACCAGACTCCTCCAGCATCCTGGCATGATCTCTGGCTGGGCTGGGCTGAGCTGGGCTCTCTGCTCCATAGCAGGGCTGGACCCTCCCCTCTGCTTCCTGGCTGTAGCTTGATCAGAGACTTGCAGGCACAGCAGCATCTGCCTGGCTTCCCCATGCTCTCCCCCTCCCCTCACCACTCCCTGCTAAAAAGGGATCCCCTGTCCCCTTTGCCTTACACAGATACCTCAGCATTAGCTAGCAGACCCCATGCTGACTATAGTCCCTGCTGCTTTTTTAAGCTAATCAGCAGCTTAGCTGGTAATATTCCTCTGTTCCTTCTTTGTTTAAGAAGAGTTTGAACTATTGAGAGAGGCTCTTTGTTTTCTGATGGGGTGATAAATGCTGATAATAGAGCTGATAAATGCTCTGTTATCAAGGGTAAATGCTCTGTTATGAAGGGGAGGGGGGGGGGGGCGTAACTCCTTCCTAATCCTGCCAGGGTCTTGCCATGCCCCCCTTAGCTCAACCCTCTAGCACCCCCCAGCTTCTAGCCTGAGCCACTGCAGGCATGTGCCTGGGATGTGCCTGGGATGTCTCTGCAGTTACAAAGTGATTTATCCTAGTCAGGTTAGACTAACCTGCAAAGATGGAATCAATTCAGGCTCAGGCTTTTCTAATGTCTGTCCCTAGCCTTATACACCCATGCTGGCTTTCCACATCACATATAAACATAATGGGAGAAGTAGAGCACAGAGGTACTGCTTCACCCACTCATGCAGGTTAGTGGCAGAAAGACAAGGAAGGGCTGGAACCTTTGGTTGGTAGCCTAAGTATGCCAGAGCAACAGGAAATATGTGCTGCCTGTGGTTTATAGATGTGGAATGAAATTCTGGCCCCAGCAAACTCAATGGCAGCTTCCTAATTGACATTTACGAGGCCAGGTTTTCACACCTGGGACTGGGAGGGAGACCACGACTCTGAGCTAGGTCTGGCCTGCTTCTGGGGCAGTTCAGAATTGAGCTGCCCTGTACTCGGTGCCTATTGTAACATCACGCTGTATCATTAGTGTATTGCAGAACTAAATGGTGCTTCCTGGGACCTTGACTCAGAGAGGTCACACCTGAAAAACAACTAATCTTGCAGGCTGCAGTGGAAATTAGACATTTGAGATTATCTGTATATTCCTAAGCTCTGATCCCAACTCGCCAAAGTCTGACAAAATACCCATTGAGTTCAGATGAGTAGAACTCATGCCCCATAGTAAGACAGTGCAGATGTTCAGTATTTATGCTATGGTAGTTCACTATAAAATAATTCATCATGTGATGAACCCATATTAATAGATGATGTCCCCACCCCCTTTTTCCCCCAATCTTGTGATGCTTGCCCTTGAATGATGAATATGTTTCCTAACATACCTCTTTTTCCTCCCTTTTCTACTGAGTAATTTTGTTAATAGCACCATTGGTAAAAGCCCTCTTTACTTCACTGTGTTTAAATGCGGTATTGGTTTTATTTATAACTTGCCACAAACCTAATGTTCCTGTCCTCAACAAATAGCTGTAGCCCCTGAGAGCCTTTATTAACCAAAGTTTCCTTCCTCTGTATTCACACCAATTCTATAATGTTCCTCCTTGAACGTAGTATGCAAAGCTATGCACAGTAAAAATTGCTGTGCTATCCTCTTCATAGCCCTTTTGTACTGTGATTTACATTCCCTTTGATTTGTGTTTCATCTTTTTGGAGCTGCTTCCCAGAGCCACCTTTTTTCCCCAAATTTCCTCCAGTGTAAAAAATAACATTTTTTACTAATGTGAGAGGCAAGGAATTTTTAGAGTGATGTCTTTTATTGGCCCAACTGTGTAGAGTTAGATAAGGTTTTGAATACAAGACACTGTTTGTGAGGTTGAGGTCTAACCAAAATTAGAATTAAATAGGAAAAAGGATTTCCAGATCAATAGAATAGAAAAAAATACATGCAATCATGGGGAAATAACTGATCATAGAATGTGTAGAGTAGGAAGAAGGGGAAGATGGGGGAAAAATAGATGGTAAGGGTAGAGAATATGTGAAGCAAGGAACAAAACTTAGAAAAGGAGAATGGGAAAAGTTGCTAGAGAATGGAGAGCTGAACTGATGCAAACACAGCTTTTCTTTTTTTCATACTGAAAATGTGACTAGTATAGGAGACTGAAAAAATGCTGCAAGATTTACAAGATCTTGAGATGATATAAGTATTGGTACGGTTTTAAGATTCAAAAGGTTGTTTTCATTTAAAGGAAAAGGTTTGTGTGTGTATTTAATATCTTACTGAATTAAATTACCCATGCCCCTTGAAGAACACCTCTTCCTACCAGTGCTTGAATTAAAAAAAAAGCCAAAAACAAAAAATACCAGTCAATAATGGAGATGAAATGGACTTTGTAGGCCAGATTCTCAGAGCAGAATGCACTTATTTTGGATGTTCCTGTCTTGTACCCTTCTAGGCCTACACTTGGGTATGACGCAAAGAAAATTATGCAGGTCACACACAGCAAGTGATAATCCTGAAAGCAATTAAATGAGGCATTAAAGTACGTGAAGTGTGTGAGAGAGAATAGGATATTCAGTCCTACTCAAGTGTACTGAAATCAACTCTCTGGAAGGATCCCATGTAAAAAAAAAAAAAAATACACCCCCCCCACTCCTCCACCAAATGCACATATACTATCCCTTGCCCTTTCCCTTCCTCCTCACCTCCATGTAGGGGAAGTCGGTACATGTGAAAAAAATTTAAAACTGAGGAACAACTTTTCACTTGACACATCTGCTGTACAGCCTAAGCCTTCTAGAGCTGAGTTTTTCAGACTATGTTCAAATCCAAATTGCTTTTGGTTATCATGATTTAAGCTCTTAGGCCAAATATAGCATGTAAGCAAGTCAAACAACTTTCATGGATTTCAGTAGCTGTTGTGTCTGCTTACAGAAAGACTTAACCTGGCCCTTCATAATTAGGAGGGTGAAGGTCTTGGTACAAGTGAAATCAGAAGTAATATATACAGCCATTTGAAGTGAATCAAATTGTCTAAACATCTTTTTACATGTGGGAAAGTCTTAGAGTGATACGTGAGAAGTTAGTGATATTTAACCACCACATTGATAGGAAGATTGTGACAGTTTTCCTACTTACTAGTAAACTCTTTAGAACAGGGACGACTCCTTTCTTACTCTCAAATTCAAATAACTAGTATTAAAATATATGCTGCTAAATTGCCTAATCACTGTTACGGGGTTAATTGCATTTTAAACCCATTTCAATTCCTCTTAGATACAACCCTTTTGAGCTGACCCCTACCACATTCACCCTATCTGGGATCAGGCCTCTGGGTAGCAGCCTCCACATTTTCCACCACAATAACACAATAGGTCACCATCTAGACCTGGATTTGACATTTGTAAGCCATTTCATTTGTAAGCAGGTCAAAGCAACTCAAAACCACTTTCTTAGAACAGAGCTATTTATTCATTCATTCAGAAGTACAGAGCAGGCAGGGAAATACAGACCTTTACCATGTTTATGCATGTACTTCCCCCTTATTGGCCCCTGATTTGTCCTTTGCATGATTTGGTATGCTCCATCTAGCTCAGTTACCTCTACCTGTGATTTGAGAAAGCTGACTGCCCTGCTGAAGTTTCCCTATGCCTGTGTCTAGATGATGCATGACAGCCCCTTACTGAGGCATGCCTTGCCTGCTCTGGGCACTAGCTCCCAAACCAGAAGCATTTAGCTGTGTCAGTGAGGTGTTATGTGCATGTGCCAACAAACCCTGTGAGCTAACACATGCAAAGCAGGTGTGGCATGTCCCAGTATAGCACTTCTTTGTGCTATGTAGACATACCTATGTTTGCATGTCACTCGGTTCTTACTGCGCAGCTCAGCCATTCACTCAAAGCCTTTCCTTTTCTAGGCCTACAGACTGGTAACAGTTTAGCAACCTCCTGTGATCCTAGGCTTAACCCTGGTGCAGCCAGGGAGTTCGTTTTTTTTCTAATTGACAGCCCAACCTAGGCTATATTAACTCCTTTGAAGGCCTTTTATCCCAAGTGTCTTAGCTTTGCTGTGGTTTCCTGTGTTTTGCCCTTACATCTTCCTTTCATTGTACTCTGTGCATTCAGGCAGATAACATCACACAATAATGGCTATCTGATAGTGTAACCAAAATAATATGTAGAAGTTTCTTATTCTCCACATCACTAGTGGCCAACCTTCTCGCCAAGTGTGCCACAAATTACCCCACACCTTCCTTGAGTGCTGCTCCTATTCCTTTTCCCTACCCAATCTGGTGCTCTCTGTTCCTTTGCCCTGGTCCCTGACCAAGCTGCTGCTCTGCTTTCAGCTCCCTGCTTGATCTGATGCTCTGCTTTCTGCCCTGTCTGCCACTGTGCTGCCTGTCCCTTCCCCAAATCAGCCCCATGCCGCCTATGCCACAGGTTGGCTACCTGTTCCATATCATCACCCTAGAATTTACCTCTTCCTGGGACTCAAAACTTTTTCTTTCTGGCCTTTGGAATGCACCAGATTGAGTGTTGGGTCACAAAGCAGGCCTCAGAACATCACCCAGGTAATTTCTGTATCAAGCTCGTAACTGGGCTTTATACACTATCATATACATTTGTCTTCCAACTTGCACTCACCCCCCTGGTCATATTTATTTACTCTTTGTACTGCAGGGGCATTAAGGGCCCCCTATCATATGCCAGGTACTATGTAAAAACAACTAAAAGATGGTGTCTACCCCACAGAAATAGCAGGTGGATGCATGAGACGGGGGCGGGGGGGAAGGACGGACTGGCTAACCTGTAAAGCCTTGTTCTGAGCACATTAACTGCCTAGCCACTGTTGAGTTCATTGTAGGCATTGTGCAGAAAAGATTTTTAAGACAGGATTTGAAAGACCATGTCAAGCCAGCTTTCCAGATGTTTATGGAGAGTAGTGTTCTTCAGTTGGTACAATTAAAGATATCACCAGAAAAGTCCTTGCCTCAGATGTATATGGGGAATACAGTCTATGCCTGAAGGGTGGCATGGAGAAGGCACACAAAGGTTCTTGTTAGAAACCTCAAGTAGGTGATGAAAGCTGGCACCACTGACATAGTGGAGGCTAGAGCTGACATCTCAATAAATGAAAACACATAGGGCAAGGATAGGCCACAAAGGGTAGTTTGTTCTTGATGTAGCTGAGAAGGGGGAGCTAGTAGTGGGATACAAGAAAAGAACTGGCACAGCTAAAGTGATGAGTCAGGAATATGATCTTTGCAGGATGGCTGTGAAGTAAGGCAAGACTTCAAGAGAAAAAGTATTCCTGGAAGTGGGCAGGGGAAACAGATGAACTGAGTCTTCAGGCCCTCAGAACTGCTCTCTGCAAGTACTCGTTCCCATTACCAGTGACTAAGGGAAAAAATGCTTGAGCTTCTTGTCATTAGTACTACACAACTGTCTTGTTTTTCCTGATAAACAGAGTACCCCTTAGTCCATAGATAGTGAGTCACTTGTCATGATATTAGATAAAAATCCATACTGACTAGAGAAGATGAAGTCATTCCTAAACTTTAAGAAACTCCTGAAATTGCTTTTTCTTTGATTAGTACTAAAAAGAAAATGGACCAAATACATTATTTCTGTATAGGTTTTGATAAGATGTGGGCTACTGGCAAGAAACTGCAATAAAATTCTATGTACAGTAAATCTCTTATTGCCTCCTTCCTAGTTCCAGCATTTCAGTTACTGTTAATAACTGTCATCTCTATCAAAGGACTAATAATGCTGCATCTGTAAGCACAGTAAAAATAATTAGTGGTACTTTCTCTGATTTTTTTTTTTTTTTTTTCCCCAAGGCGATATTTATCATTTCAGAATTAGAAGTAAACATGCCCTTCAGGTAGCCTTGTTGTAAAATCCTGTTCTTCACCCACTGTTTTATATTTTAACTGATGCACACAGAAGCCAAACTGGGTTGCCCAAGGTTATATAGTAAATCAACCCAATTAAATACAGAAGGTCAGTTTTTGCTGGAAAACAAATGTGTCAAAAGTTAGCATAAAAAATGGCACACAGCCGTTTCAAATATTGTTTAAGGTCAGGTCATTTACAAAAGCTTGCAAATTTAAATTTCTGCCTGAGACTCAGAACTAAGCTAATGTTTTTTTCATGACTTATACTGTGTATTATAACTTGTCATTTATATTACAGTTGCACATTATGTTACATGTTGCAGCACAAAAATAAAGTCTGTGTCACATAGGTCCAGCATCTACCTGTGCATAATTTCCAGTCTGATCCAAGTAATGCTCGTTTGCCTCCCATTTGTTCCAGAGCTACCTCTCCAGTCCAAGGACTGTGTGTTTTGAACATTAGGCATGTAAGATGCCTCTCTGCTAGGCCCAATCTCTGGACATAAGCCTGTGTGTGCTTGTAGTGGACTTCCAGACTCCCACTTGAAATCTTCTCTGAAGGCAGATCCTATATTCTCTTTATGCTCAAACCTCTAAGGGCCCCCTGCTAAACCAGATGGGACAACAGATGCCCAGGACAAAGCAAACTTACTAAATGGGTACTTTGCGTCAGTTTTTCACCAGTCCCATGGTAGCCCCTTGCCCACTACAGGACAGGGAGATCCCTTACCCTCCATCAATTCTGACCTCGTGAAGGAACACTTTGAGAGGCTGGATACCTTCAAGTCAGCCAGCCCTGACAGTTTACACCCCAGGGTACTCAAGGAGCTGACTAGCATCATAGCTCAGCCCCTGGCATGGATCTTCGAGAACTCCTGGTGCTCTGGTGAAGTGCCCAAAGATTGGAAGAAAGCCAATATGGTGCCTATCTTCAAAACATCCACACCTGAGGACAGGAGGGTGATCCAGGCTGACATTGACAGGCTCATGAAATGGGTGGATGAGAACCTGATGGTGTTTACCACCGAAAAATGCAAGGTTCTTCACATTGGGAGGAAAAACCTGCAGCATGCTTATAGGCTCGGCACTGCTACGCTGGTTAGCACTACGGACAAAAGGGCCTTGGGGGTCCGTATCGTCAACAACATGAACATGAGCCTTCAATGTGATGCTGCGGCTAGTAAAGCGAGCAAAACGCTGGCTTGCATCCATAGATGGTTCTCAAGTAAATCTCAGGATGTCATTCTCCCGTTGTACTCAGCCTTGGTGAGGCCGCAGCTGGAGTACTGTGTCCAGTTTTGGGCTCCGCAATTCAAAAAGGATGTGGAGAAGCTTGAGAGGGTGCAGAGGAGAGCCACACGCATGATCAGAGGTCAGGAATACAGACCTTATGATGAGAGGCTGAGAGCTGTGGGACTCTTCAGCCTGGAAATGCGCAGGCTCAGGGGTGATCTGGTGGCCACCTATAAGTTTATCAGGGTTGCTCACCAGGATCTGGGGGAACATCTATTCACCACAGCACCCCAGGGGATGACAAGGTTGAACGGTCACAAACTCCTCCATGACCATTTCAGGCTGGACATAAGGAAGAAGTTCTTTACTATCCGAGCCCCCAGGGTTTGGAATAGACTGCTGCCGGAGGTGGTTCAAGCGCCTACCTTGAATGCCTTCGAGAGACATTTGGATATTTATCTTGCTGGGATCCTATGATCTCTGCTGACTTCCTGCCCCTGGGGCGGGGGGGTGGACGCGATGATATTCTGAGGTCCCTTCCAGCCCTAGTGTCTATGAATCTATTAATCTCTCTCATCTTTCTGCATTTCCAATTCCTGACTACCCCTGACTTGGCAGCTCATGTTCAGCATGATGCCACAGCAAATATATTCAGTTGGATTGCTGGTACCACCAAAAATGGAAAGAAACCAGCCAGTTTTTAAAGTACATTTGATTACAAAGGGAAATAACATATCTGTTTATCCACTTCTCGGAGTATCTACTCTAAAGAACAACACGCACGAAAAAGTATACCATCGTGGCACAAAAAGTACAATATTCAAGTTAGGGGTTAGTAAAATAATTGAGGATAGGGGTTGTTGGAAACCACTGGGAGATTTGGGAGATTTGAAACAATTTACCCAAGTGAATGAGTGATTTTTGCACAATGACAAAGCTCAGCTTTATTCCAAAATATCTTAATTTTAGGATGAATAGTCTTCTAAATAAATTAAAGGATCAAGCTCAGAATCAGCGAAAGTGGATAGAAACCCTATTGAGCAGATCTGAACAAGAACAAGTCAACCAAACAAATCAGCTACTTAATGCAATGAAGGAGAGACTGGTAAGAATTGTTTTTCCCTCACAGCTTACCAATAAAATCAGTGCAGAATTGTAGAGTTTTGAAGTTGCAGTTACAAGAGGATCGCCAATGATTTGGTCTCTGTAAAAATTGGCAAAGGTACAAAAAAATAAAAATAAAAATAAATCCCAAACAATAGCAAACATTTCAAAAGCCCCATGACCATAACTCTGTCAGTAAAATGATTTGAGAGGATGGAGTTAGATTAGAAAACTGATAAAAGCTCGTTCATATTTATGTTATTCATTCAAATCCAGCACAATGTGCAGCTGACCCATAGTTACCATCTGGTGGTGGTTTAATGATTTTAAGTCCATTTCCCGTTATTGGATATGTAGCCACGTAAAAAAACAAAAAACAAACCCTGCACTCTGCACATATGGCACCCTCGGAGACAGTCTCGGCAAATAAACACAACAGAAAACTGAACAGGCAAAAGCCTTGTGTGCAGATGGTACCTCGCAGTCCGCGCTGAACACTTGGTAAGACAGCATGGAGGAGCTCATACTGTTCCTGTTCGGGCTGAACCTGGTCTGTAAATACACAGAGGATTCAGTTGTCTCAAACTTCCTTCTTCCTTAAGTTATGTTCAGACAAACTAAAACACTCAAATTCAAGGTGGATCACACCCATTTGCTCCCCCAACATTTGTTTTCCTCCTCTCTGAGGCACAGGTGAGGATCTCATTTGAAGTCTTCAAACTGTTTAGCTAAACCAAAAAATACCCAACTTGAACTTTGGCAAAATATTTTTTCCCCTGAAATCCCTCTCTAATGCAAGCAGTGGTGATGAGGGAAGAATCAAGATAAAGAAAACAATTGGAGAATGGAGGAAGGACAAATGCTGTGGAAAAATTAAAAGGGAGGAAAAAGAGTAGAGATTGCTCATTTTTGTTTGCAAAGGGGCAGAACTGGTAAGACAAGACCAGAAAAGTCTAAAGTAGAAGCCCTAATAATTCTGTTACCTGACAGAAATCAATATATCATTTCCTGTCCAATGTGTACGCTTTGCATGTTCAAGAATACTGCTAAAAGATACTATGGAAAATGTCTATCTGTGAATTGAGCTCTTAGTTGATGGTAAGCCGGCCACTGTTTCAAGTGCCAGAAGGCACATCCCGAATCTTCTACTTCTCACTTTGAGCTCAGGCACCAGAGCCCTGAGCACCATTTTGACCGTGTGAAACACTGAATTGTTCTGTAATGCCTAGTGCTTGACTTCAGGAAATCAGGAAAGAAGGTTTAGTTTGTTAGACAGCTGATTCAAACTTCTAGAATAAACTTCTAATAGACTAACTCTGGAGAGAGTGCAGTGTAGTAAGCCAAAGTATATTTTAGTTATTAAAATGCACATCAAAACGTTTAAACAATATATGCAGGTTATGCAAAATTTTCCAGATTTGCAATATAAGAATTTCACAAATGGATTCTAGGTTAGCACCTGACAATTTAGCAGATTTTAAATTTCAAAGGAAGAGCTGGGAGCTGGCACTTGAGTAAAACATTTTAATTAGTTCTTCCAAAGCCTTAAAAGCTTCTTGGCCTATTGACATATGCTATTCATCCTGCTTAAGAGTTGAAAACCAAATAAATTGCTACAATACAGACATCAGCAACTATGATCCTGGGTGTATCTTAGGACAAAATTCTTAATCCAAAACAAAATTTTACATGAACATTTCCTTTAATTTGAATCTTGAATTACACGTAAATCTGGCCAGTTACTTCTGTAGTGAATGTATTGGCTACCACAGTGCAGCAGAGAAGATATTGAAAATATTTCTAACTCTACACATATGTATTTGCTTCCTCTGATACTATCATTTTTCATGGAGTGCTTTGCAGATTAGATATACATTGCACAGTATTACAATCTCCCTGGAGAGAGAAAGTGTGAAAGTTGTGCAAAACAATACATAGTTAACATTCAATGCCAGTTTTAAACATATCATGCCAATTGAGTTTTCAGTGCCGATTTTACACAAAGCAGGACAGGATATAAATGTCTCACATGAACACACACACTTACTTTTCAGCAAACCATCCACTGGAAAACATTGCTGCTTCATGAAAACTCAGGCCAGATATAGTTATTTGGCTGGGAGTTAGAGAAGTCTATGAGACAGAGTATTAGCGAAGTGGTAGTTTCAGGTGCGTTACACTCAGCTCACTAAGATTCAGATTGTATTTTTGCAAGGGTATTTGCCATCAATCACAATTCGGCCCTAACTGCTTGGGCCAGCTGTTACATTTTTAAAAATAGTCCAGGCTTAGTACCTTTTGAAAAAAAAAAGGATGATGACACAACTGTTTATTCTTCACTCCTGTGTGTCACATGGGATGTGTGAACGGGAACGCTGATTGGTCTGGAAGTTTATATGCTACAGGATGGAATAATTTCATGAGTGAGAACAGCAGCAGGTTATACCAGATGACTCACTTCATCAACCACCTGTACAGCATTTCAATATTTGTAAAGTCAAAACCATTTGTTTTCATTGCTACACCAAACTCAGTTTAAACATTTATAAATGGTTTAATTTAGAGGCAAATCCTGCCATTGCCTCTCTACTGATACGAGCTCTTCTGACTGCAGAACTGTTTTCTGTAAGAACAGAAGGTGCTGAGCACTGTGACAGAGCTCTCTCTGGTCCATGAAAACTCCCTGCCATGTGTAGGACAAAGTGGAGATGGACAACTGCATTAATCCTTTTAGCATGCCCTGCTAATGACTATATAAAGGCCTTCAGAGACTACTTAAGGCACATATATTGGGAGTGCGGAAAGGAAGAGAACCTCTCTACACATTTAATGGCAAAGCAGTTTGCAGATCAGCCCAGCCTAACTTTTTATGCTGGGCACTGTGCTCCAAATTTGCTCAATATTTAACAATTTTGGTTGAAAAGCTTTGTATGAGATAAGCACAGTAAATCCCTTACCCTTGCACTGTACCCAAGTATGAGTCCAGTTTGTATGTATTCCAAGGTAAAATTGGGATAAGGTCCCCACCCCATTGATGAAACCCCTGAGGGTGAAGGGATTGCAGGGCCTCCTTTCCAGGGGACCAAGTCTTAGCAGCATTTATTCAGTACCATTTTCTGTGAGGATTTTCAGAGAAAAACTGTCTTAACTCATACTTGCAAACCAAGAGGCAGCTTAAGGGTGAGCAATACGGGCCCTCTTGTTAACAAGTGGTGTTTATATGAAGGTCTCTTGATATTTAAAAGGAAGCAGTAGAAGAGCAATTGGAAGCAGATGTTCATCTTTCCCCAAAGATAGAAAGGACAGATAAGTTGCAGCACTATGAAAAGGAGCAGAGCCCGATGAAAAATTATGCAAATGAACTGCACGCAAGAATGTCTAGATTTGAAAGACGGATGTGGAATGAGCTGGTGGAAATCCAGAATGAATATAGATCAGGTGAGGAGGAGTCTTTAAATTTGTACAGGAGTGCAATGTGCTCCCTCAGAAAGTGTCTATCAGCTAAACAGGGCAATACAAAAATGTCCATTTCCATCTCCGAGTCTCAATCAAAGTTACCTTTTGTCAAATATTTCTCTTCCCTGTGCCTGTCATTGCAAACAGCCATTTGCATTATAATATCCCCACACAATGTAATACTCCAGATTGTTTCTCTGGAAGCTTTTGATGCTGGGTGTGTGCGCGTGTGGGGTGGGGGGGATGTTACATATTCTACTTCAGATGACAATGAGTACAGCTAAATATGTAGCCAGGATTTTTCCCACAGACTCATGTCAAAATGAAGGCTGCAAGTGTCTGATTAGGCAAAGATGGAAGAAAGTGTTCTCACTGCTGCTTGCAGTCCTCAGTTTGGAAAGGAGCTTCAGGCTTTCAGAATATAAGCTGTTAAAGGACAGGGCCAGACGAACAAAAACAGTCACCTGTATCAATAACAGCAAGCTCAGGATTCACCCTTATAAGATGGAAAGGATATGGTGGGTAAAAGGAATTATATTAAGAGTATATAGGACTGTTCCTCTCGAGGACAATCATCTTAGAGCGAGGTTTTGTCTTTGAACCATATTCAACTCTGGGCTGGTCCTGGATGTTCCACTTCAGCAATGG